TATTTCTGTTCTTCCCATTAAGTCGCCTGAGGTGACCTCTGAAAATGGTTCACTATTCACTTCCCCAGAAAGCCCAACAAAATCATGCAAATCAAGAGATTCAAAGCTTTGTGTTCACTTTATGAATGCATCAAAAGTTTGCATATCTGAAAAGCCACCATGTATCTGAAGGATGTCACTTTACAGAAGCAGTGTGTGCCACTCTGTCGCTACAATGGTGGAGTTGGTAGGTGGGATCAGGCCAAACACTGGGGCTGGACACAGTGTCAGTGACCTGAACAGAGTGCTGCTGAATTTTTACTGCACATGCTTAAATGCAGAGTAACGCTGAACCTTAAGGGTTTAGATATAGATTCTCTGGTCACTGAGCATACCCAGGTGAACAAAACCCCCAAGATGTGGTGAGAACTTACAGAGTGCATGTTTGGATTAACCTGTACATGAGCTCTCCCTGCCACAGAGATGATCCTTACTGAAAAAGAGCAGATTGTTTCTAAACTGGAGGAGGATGTTGAAGAAAAAAGAAAAAGATATCCCAGAAGAAATGAAATTGAAGAAAATGAAGAGACAAGAACTTACGGCTTGGGGGTAAATTCTGCATAAAATAAATATAAGTAAAAAAAACCACAAAAAACAAAAAACAACCAAAAAACAACCCCCCCAAACTTATTTCAGAACTATTGTACCTTTTAATTTTTGAACTATGTGACTATATTACCAACCAAAATAAAATTTAAAATTAAAAAACTAAAAAATTTAATTAAAAAAAAAGAAGTAAACTGCTATAAACAAAGCAGAACATTCTGCCTGCCTATGGCACCAGGGGCAAGCTCCAAGAGGATCCACCCTCTGAACTGAAGGCTGGTGCTAATACCAACTGCCACAAAGTACCACCTCCCACTCTGGGCTCTCAGTATGTCTCCCTACTGTTTAAGGCAGCAGCCGGGGACACAGCGCATCACCACATTTCTGGCCATTGGTCACAGGTCCTACCGTGAAGACTGGCAGAGGGAGGCTTCCAAAAGCAGGATCTGGCTGCAGAGACAGTGGCCAGCAAAGAGCTCAGGCACCTGAAGGATGGTTACTTAGTGGCCCAACCCTTGGCTTCCTGTCTCCCTCCTGTGTAAACTGAGCCATGATCTTTGAGGGAAAGAAGCCTGGACCTTTGGTGTCTCCTGAAGCAAACTGGTAGCTCATATCACAAAGAGTAATTTCCCAATATATAAAGTGTTCCTACGAACCAATAAGAAAGACACATGACAATGAAGTGTTTCAACAGTTAAAAAAAAAAGGAAGTATAAGTGGCTCTTAAATATACTAAATGATGCTTCCTAATAAGCCTCTTGGGAGGACTGCTGAGTCAGCATTGCTGGTTGTAAGTCCATCTTCCATCTACTGCTCCATTTTCCCAGCCACCTTGAGGACCAGTTCCATTTGAATGGTCAATTCTTACCATAAAAGTGATCATGAAGAAACTCAACAAGAGAGCAGAGTGTTCATACTCAAACTTGCCCTCAATATCTAGTAAAAAAGTTTTTTTTAAAAAAGGAATAAATTCAGCATAGTGCTGAAGTCAGGAGGGAATGTGGCAGACATCAGGAGTTGGCTATGTCCACATCTGCTCTAAGACCTCTTCTCCTACATATGCTTTACTGCTCACTTCCCTAAACTCCCTTGCAATGAGGGTGCTCACGTGATTTGTTGGCTGCCTGTGAGGCACAGACTAGCCTTTGCAAGAGCTTTTCTTTTTCTGGTAAGAATGGTAGATGTTGCTGGTACTGGTTTTCCCCTGTCCTCTTTCCTTGAACTTCAGATATGAAAGCTACCTTGTGACCATGAGGTGAAGGCCAGGAAAGTCACAGAGATATAGGGTGCCACCTACCTCCAGATGACTTATTTGGAAGAGAGGAAACAACAACAACAACAACAACAACAATTTCAGCCACCATTGGAAGTATCATTTACCTGCAGCTGAAAGCATTTGTCATAGATACCAGGGACCATGAGCAGACTACCTATGTTAGGCAGTTTACAGAAGGTGAAAAGCCGATGGGACCACACTGATGGTACTCCTGGGAAGGGAGCCCCAGGCTCTTCTGGACAAAGCTCCAATGAGGTGTCCTGCTTGGAGCTGGCAAGAACAAGCAGCAGGAAGGAGTGGAAGAAAAGAGCACATGGCTAGTAACTGGTGGCCTGTTTGTGCCTCCTTCCATCTGCATCATATTGGCCTAGCATTCTCGCCTTCAGGTGGATACAGAAAACTGCTATGTAGAGCTCCAACTGACGTTATGGGCTAAGGCTCCCAGAGTGGCAGCTGGATCACAGAGTGAAGCTCTACAACCTGGCCAGGGGAGACGTTGGTCAGGCACATGCTGACCTATCTCCCACCCAAGAAGACGTCCTGTCAGGGTACCCTGGAAGTGACGTGTGCTAGGGAAATAGCTCTACTCTTACTGGTAATTCAGAACCACGCTTCCTGTTGAGGACATGGGACCAAGGTACACAAAGAGAAACAGACCTCAGAGAGCTAATGTGCTAGTGACCTAGGGTTGAGTTGGGATGTGGGGAAGGTAGAAATTCAGAGAGGGATGCCTTTGCCTTGGGAACACTTATTGATGAGAAAGAGGCTGAGCAAGCTTCTGTCAGACTTGAGGGCCTAGGGGGACCAAAGCAGGGGCCAAAATGAAAAGTGGGGATTCCTGGTAAGTTATCCCTCCTTGTGCTGACACCCCAAAGGGATGTACCCTAGAATAAGGGTAAACTGGAAGTAAACCAGCCCCTGCACAAATGAGTGTCTGGCTTTGAGTCATGAGACAGCCCAGAAAACCTCAATCCCTGAACTGGGTTGAGGGCTCTGCAGTGCTGGTGCCTCCAGAACTGGCAATAGCAAACAAAAGTACTCTGTGAAAGAAGGTAACATCACCCGAGGCCTCAAACCATTTCTACAAATAATTTTCCAGACAACATGTCCAGCAGATAGTTAAAAATAATCAGACATGTAAGGAAATAAGATAATATAAATGAGAACTGGCAGAGACATTTATAGGCAAGAGAAACAGATCCACAAGGGCTCCCAATAGCAGAACTATAAGACTTACAACTTTAAAATAACTAAGCTTACTACGCTCAAGCAGATAAAAGACTAAATTGAAAATATGGGGGGAGAACTGAAACTATAAAAAATGATACAGCAGATTTTAAAAAGAGAGGACATTATATCTCTCTGATGATGGGGAAAATGGAAGGGAAGATATCACTGAAGAAGAGAACTAAGGAAAATCCATAGAATGAATGAAGGAAACCAACTTTGAGCTTTGTGAAACTTCAAAACAATGAGGGAGCCAAAAGAACTTACACAGCAATGGAAATCAGATTTGCAGCAGAGATTTTACAACAAAGTCTGCAGCGCCATACCTTCAAAGATGTTAAGGGGAATTGGACTTTGAAGTTACGATTCTAGTAACCAACCAGATTAAGATCTACTGCAACAAAATAAAAATCAAATAATTTACACACAGGCCAATCACACACCAAGGCCTGCAGAGCCTGTGAGGTCTGACCCTCCAACCTTTCTGACTGCAGCCCCTATCACCCTCTCACTGCTATTTTGCTTGGCTATTCCTTCCACACTGCAAGCCCTTCCACCTCAGGGCCTTTGGATTCGCTGTTCCCTCTGCCTGGATGTTCTTCCCCTAAATATCTGTGGGGCTTTGCCCCTCACCTTTTCTGGTCTCTGCTCAGTTAAGACTTCCGTGATTACTCAATATAAAATAGCATCCTGCCAGTAACCCCCTGGCCACTTTACGTTTGTTCACAGCACCCGCCCCCACCCAACACAATACATGTACTTGCTCTGCTGTTTAGAATCTGCCTCTCTGCACAAGAATGTAGACCTATGAAGGTGGGGCCTGTTGGCTTTGTTCCCTGCTCATTGTCCTGTGCCTGGCCAGAGCAGGTGCTCCATCAGTATTTGCTTAGTGACTGCATGAAGCAGGGGAGCTAACTTATATCCACAACCCCATCCCTCACCAACCTGCTTCTTTCAAGGCACTAGCAGGCACAGCGCAAGCCAAAAAATTTGGAGGTGACTATATGCATGTTCATTATTGTCTGTCTCTTAATCTATTCCATATCCACCCATCCACCCACCAAGTCTTGTTGGGTCTGCCTCTAAAATACAACTTGCATCTGTGCCCTTTCCCCTCTCCATGGCCATCACACCGATCCAAGTCACCTTCGTCTATTGCCAGGACTGCTGCAAAAACAAGCCCTGACTGCTTTCCTACGTCAGTTCACATCACCCCTGCTAACTGATCTCATGTCACAAACTCCTGCAAAAGCTCCAGCTCACAAGATCTCAATGATCTCCTTTCTGCTCATCTGTCTCACCTCATCTCATACCACCCTCTCCTTTGCCTACTATGCGGCAGCCACAGTGGCCTTCATTTACCACACCCGGTTTGCATTCACTATCACCTCTACCAGGAGACTCCCAGGTCTTGACAGAGCTGGCGCATTCTTATCCCCGGGTTTCATCCTAAAAGACCCCTTCTGATATCTTCCCTGGCCACTTGTTCCCAGGCACCCTCGTCTGATTGCTCTGCTTATTTCTGGGCATAGTATAATCCATAGTCTGAAACTATCTTGTTAACTGATTGCTTCCTTGCTTCTGTGCCTTCCTACCAGACTGGGAGCTCCATGAAGGCAGGGAAGGATCTTTCACCTTCTCTACGGAACAAACCCACAGCCCCCAGCAGGCAACTCTCCTCAGCACAGGTGCTTGCGTGGCTGAGCACTCCCTGGGCCCCCGACGCCGAGGGCCCAGCTGCTGCCCGGCACTGCAGGGTTGGCATCTCATCCTCCCACTGACGCTGGGGCCCAAGGCGGTGTGGTCAAGAAGTCTAATGGGGAAGAATTTCAAAGCACTTCGGCTTATTTTTCATCTCCACTTTCACTTTTCAAGACAGAATTCTTGTGGCAAGAATGAAAGCAGCACCTACCACTACCGTTGACTCCCACTGGCTTCCAGTGGAGTAGTGAACCGGACCCAGTAAGTCCTTGCATATTTCTCGGAGTCGGTATTCAAACCCTAATTACGGAAAAAAAACAAAACAAAACAAAACAACAAAACAAAACAGAAATAGGAACACATTACAAAAAGAAATAAAAAATCAAGAATATGCTAAGTTGTTGCGTATATCAAACCAGATTGAACAAATGTTTATTTTATTGCCTGCTTTGTGCAAAATGCCTCTTGCCCGTCTCTCAGTTTGGGGCACTGTGATCCATAATGACAGACTCTCACTCACGAACCCACTCCCATGACAGCATATACAGCAGCCCCTCTGTGTGCTGGGCCCATGGGAAAAATGAGATGTGGCCAGCTCTGGGACAAACTCCCCAAGGTGATGGGAAAATGTAGGAATCGTGGAAGGGAGGGGAGTGGGCTAGTCAGATTTGTTTCAGAAAAGACATGTTGGTAGTGAGAGGAGATCAGCAGGGTCAGGAGGCAGCCTTCAGGAGGTAAGAGATGGCAAGGGTATGAATTTAGGCTGAGGAGGTGGTGACGGAGTGGAGAAGACAGGAGAAGCAGTCACAGGCCTGTCAACTCATGGGTTATGGCACAGCCACGTGGAGTGCCAGAAGTGCTGGTGGCAGAATCTGGGGGCCTGTCAGCACTGGCGGCAGCTGAAGCCACAGGGAATGATGAAATCACCCAAAGATGAGGATAGAGAATAAGAGGGTGATGCTGGAATCTGAGGAATTTTAGAAGTGAGAGGGGTCTCCCTTTACAATTTGAGTCCTTTTATGGTCGAGGAAGCAAGAGATAGAGTGGAGGTGACTTGTGTATGGACGCAGGAACAGACGTGTGGAAGATGAGAAAGAGAAGCAAGTGGTAGAAGTGATCCCACAAACTGGTGCAGGCCCCTGAGGAGGCAGCGACTTTGTGCAGGGCATCAGGCTGAGTCCTGATCAATACCCAGGATGAAGCAAATTAGAGGAGCCAGAGGAGAAGTCTCCCCAGAGGAATGGGGTATGAGGCCCAGATGTGACAGGAGCACCCCAGCAAAGGTATGGGCTTGGGAAGATTGAGTATTTAGAAGAGTCAGTGACCACACAGGCTGGGCAACCACGCAGAATGGGCAGGAAGAGGAAAATTAAACTCATGTTTGGAGTCTGCTGGGGAGGGGTGAGGGACTTCGAGTTGGTCAGCCATGTCTGTTGTCATCAGAGGTGTATACATACACACAGTTACGTCATCAGAGGCAATGTGATATGTTTGAGTTCTGGGAGTGACATTTGTAGGGGTTCAGCACGGTTTTCTCTCTTTTTTGTACTCTAAATTATAAACAAACTAGGCAGGGTGTTGTCAAAAGCAAAGCAGGAAGGCCATGAGAGGCTGTGGGGAAGGCTGTTCTGTGATCAGGCCTGGAGCTGTGTGGTAACACAGGGAGTTTTGGGAGGGCTGGTTCTCAAGCCACAACCCTGGAGGCTAAGCTCAGGGGGGAGGAAGGCTGGTAAGAAACAACCCCACACTTGCCTAGCAAAGAGATGAAAGGCTATTTATTGGAGGTCGCCCTGAGAACAGGATGGCCACATCTTCCAACATACCTAGCTTTCTGCTGGCCGAAAGGGGATGAGAAAGTGGTGGGGGAGATACTGGGGAGGGGACAGAAGTGCTCGCAGGGAAAGCTGGGCTGGAAGGCCATGGGGGAGGTGCTGGACAGGCTGGCCCTTCCAGGGCAGGAGGGGCTTAGAGGAAGAGAAATGCAGGCTCACTGGATGCTGCCGGAAGATGCCCTTCCCTGGGGTGACTGGCTGACCACTGCAGATCCAGGGTGTGAGGGAGGGCAGGAGGGTGAGCATCTCATCTGCTCCTCTGGAGCAAGTCTATCCGAGCATCCTGTGCCCCCACCTCCTCCCGCTGCCAATCCTCCTGGCCCTCAGGGCCTACCTGATTCAGGGCCTCAGAGCCTCTAATGGGCTGGATGCCTGCTGAGCTGCCTCGATTACAGCTCAGGCTAAGAGATGGGGGCTGAGGGCCGTCTGGTTAATGGGGGAGCTGGAGGCCAGGGCCTCTGGGGGTGAACATAGGAGACTGGGAGGAAGAAGAGTGCAGAGAGCCCAAGACCACTGCACTCTGCCTTGATTCATGGGCTTTCAGGAGGGTCATGTTGGGAAAGAAACGGAGTCAGGCCCAAGAAGATGGAAGGGCCACCAGAAACCTCACCTTCGTTCACAAGGTACCGGGCGTAGAGGAGGAGCCAATGGCGGTACTCATGGCTGGACTGCAGGGTGAGTGCCGCCGCAACCTGATTCTCCAGGTAGGCCAGGGTGGTCTCCTGCTGCACTACATGAGGCACGGAGAAGAGCCGGGCTGCCTGTCTTCCTGAACTGCAGAGACCGGCAGAGCAAGCATCATGAGGCAGTGGGTACTACATGGGTCAGGAGGCTGCTACCGTGAGCCCCTGGGCACCAGTGAGGAGCCAGTAAAGGGGCAGGTGTCAGACTCCATGCTGGCTAACCTGTCCCCATGTCCCAGCCACAGGCCTCCTGGCCACTCTAGCACCCCTGTCCCACCCTGTACCTCCTATCTAGGCCCGAGGTGACAGGTCAGCAGCTCATTCCTCCCCACCCCAAATACTGCCCATGATCGTGTCCATGACTCGTAGCACCTCAGACCACTATCTGTGCCCTGAAGTGACAGGGCTTGTGACCTAGCACCCTGAGATATTACCCAATGTGGGCCCACAACCGTTGGCACCCTTGAGCCTGCTTGTGCTAAGCAGCAGCTAGGCATAGGGGGTGGGCAGTCAGAGAGCAGGCCGGTGGGACTGTGCTTGCATGACCCGGCCACCTCCCCCAGCAGTTGGGTCACCTACGTGGAGGCACGGCCCTGGACTATGGCTAAAGGTCCGGAGCACAGCATGGCGTCCTGGGGAGGCAGGCTGCTCCTGAAGTCCGCACACTGGGCCAGGGAGTCCTGCTTGTCAGAAACCAGGTTCCTGGGGAGGCAACAGCAGGAGCAGAGGTCAGGAAAACCAGGAGGTCCACCAGAAAGGCTGGCGGTGAGGCCACCAAGGAGCAGGCACCACATGACCTTCAGCCAGAGTGCCAGCTGAGGCTGTCACTGCATTCTCTCCACAGGGCCCTCAGGGACAGGTTTCATAACAAGGCAAAATCAATGACAGTGAAGGTCATCAACGGGGCTCTCGCTGGGACCACTTGAGCTCCATGGTCTCAGAAGTTGAGCACAGGGGCCTGCGTATGAAGTGTGCATAGGATGCCCACTTGCCCAGGGCCCACATGGCCCGGCCTTTGGAAGCTCCCAGGGATGCCAGGCTCTAGCCTTCCCGAGCTTCTGTAGCATCCCAAGCAGTCAGCTCTTCACCTTCTCTGGACCTTTCACATCTTTGTTGAAAACATTCTAGCCACACTTTAAAAATAGGTGCCTTTGTAAAACACTAAGCCAACATTCCCCTTCTTAGACAACCAGCCTGTTTCCATTATTACAGTAATCACATATAATATACAAGTTTGCAACTTGGAAGAGCTGGGAATAGGTAAACTTTTGTTTTTGTTTTTTTTTAAGATTTTATTTTTAAGTAATCTCTACACCCAGCATGGGGCTTGAACTTACAACTGTGAGATCAAGAGTTGCATGCTTTCATGACTGAGCCAGCCAGGTGCAGCGCCCTTCCTCCGCCCCTCACCCCCCGCTTTATTTTTTTTTTTAAAACTCAAGAAAGAAATCTCAATGGGAGGATAAACTTGTGCCTGGCAACTCTTAACAGAAGAGGGCTGGAAGGCAGCTGGTTTGGGTATGAAGGACCAAAGGTGCAGGCAGAAGAAAAGAATTTCTGACTGGCTGGTACACAATGTACATACTTTACACATCTGGATTAAAGTCTTGGAGGAATAGAGATTTTACAAATACAGAAAAAGCCTCCAAACTCCAAAATGGGCTGAGGAAAGACACAGACCACGACACATGATAAGTGACTATCCAACCTCACTAATTCACAAAGTCAGCCAGAAGTGCTACCTAGCTCCTGCTAAGCTACAAAAATTGAGGAATGGTGGTGAAGTTGTTGTGAAGCCAACTCACCTATGCTGACAATGGCTAAGGAGGCGAGGCTGGAAATGTGTATCGACAACCATAAGAATCTTCAAATGCCTGTTCCAAACAAAGTGACCCAGAAAACGATGTAGAAGGAAAGCACCCCTGCCCACAGGGACCGTGGGGCCTGTACTGGCGGGTTTGAGCTCTTGCTCTCCTCTAGTGGACAGAGACCAGCAGGGCTGCCACCACAGCATCCACTCCAGGGCTTGACTGTCAGAAGCTGGGCCAGGCAGGCCTGACTGCTTTCGTTCCAGCTCAGATGGACACTCTCCCAGAAGGGCAGGGCCAGGAGCTGGCTTACTTACCATGTAGAAAGCGACGGATTAAAGCAGTATGCCTTCCCATTAGACAGGTTCATCACTGGGATTCCATGCTGTGTCAGCAAGATCTGTGACACTGTCATGTCACTTCCTGGGGAGACAGCACAAGAATGGGTCCTGGGTGCATTCTGAACAGCAGGTGCCTGCATATGCACCTAAGGAGAAATGCAAACCACAGCTCCCACAGTCCCAGCAACAGGTATCTTAACACTGACGCATAACTAGGCAGTCACTGCTCTACTCTGCGCATGCTGGTCTCACTGCCATCCACAAGCTGTTTGTCACCTCTTAGGGACCCATTCAAATATGCCCCTGGAGAGAACGCATCTCCCTACCATGTAACGACATCCCCTACAACATAACGACATCCCCTACAACACGAAATGCTTCGGGCTGGGCCCAGAGCTTGGTTCTCCATCTAGGCTGAACAGGATGCTTTCATGTTAGGAACCCAAGCTGTCCTGCCCCCACCCCAGGGAACAAGGGGTGGTCTACTGCTGAGGTTACCTGCCAAGATGGAGTGTAGAGATTCTTCTTTCACCACAACCACCTGTCTGTGAACATCCCTAGGAGGGAGACAGGGAACAGCTTACTCTGCAGCTGGGGTAAAAGCACCAGAATGTGCCTCGGTGATCAGACCCCACTCCATGGTCCCCGGTACACACCCAGCCCTTGCTTCCAGGATGGGGGCTCTGCGCTGGAAAGGGCTTCCACTCCCCATGTGTCACTACGCTACCTCTGCACAAGTCTATGGGAGAGGGCCCAGGCAACAGAGCTGTGGGGCCTGCCACCAACACCATGCCAACTCTGGGAGAAGTGTGGCCATGCTCTTGGTAGCTGAGATCCCTTTTCTGGACCCTGGCACATGCAATTAGGCATTGTGTGATTTGTCATGAGCTTTGCTGCTATCAGGATGGCAGCAGGGGCAGGCAGCCTGCGCCACTTCCACTGCACACTCTCGCTCCCTCAACGCAGGGTGGCTATCACAAGCAATGCGTGACTGACTGCTCAGGCCTCCTTAGGCGTTAAGATGCCCAGGCCAGCAGGGCCCAAGGACATGTCTGTCGAGTGGCCCCCTTTCCTGCCTTCCCTATCCCTGAAGTGAGAGGGGACCTGCACAACCCCATCCCATCCTGCTTGGAGCCTGCCCCACCCCGGGCCTGCCTCTCACCAGACAGACAACGTGGCTGCAGCAGTGAGCGCCATGACGTAGGAGCCCGTGCAGTGCAAAGTGGAGATTGGGGACGGCAGGAGGATGGGAGGGAGGAGGCGGCGACCACAGGCGGAGAACACGGACAGCATCCTCTTTTCACAGGCAACACATACCACGTCACTGAAAAGGCACAGAGGGGACAGGTGTCATGATCATTGGGAGCTGTGGCAGAGGCAGCAGCCCTGAAATGCAGAGCCTTCCCTCTGTCTGTGCCTGCCCCGTGCCTGCTATGAGGGCTTGCCCAAGGACCGGGGCAGCAGGGCTGATGCAGCCTAGCCTAAATGAGACCTCTGATTAAAGAGAATGTGTTCTCTTTCCCTTCAGGGGCAGCTTGAGCTTTTCTGAGCTCACACTAATGCTGATCCAGGGGGAGCCCACAGCAACACCCAGCACACAGGCCTATTTGTCCTTTGTGGGCGCCTGGGATCAGGAAGCTCAGTTTGCTCATCTTGGCAGAGAATGAAAAGGAGGTACAGAATGATGGTTCCTTCTAGGTGCAACACCATGCACTCACTCAGGGCCCATGGGAACCCTGACCCAAGATGGAAGGCCAAGTACTCACAGACACTATGAAAGCATTTTACATGCAGCCTCATGATAACTGATTAAGGGTCTAGTCAAAGTGATTGTATCTAAGCCAATTATCTTTGTAAAATCCTTTTAAGAGTATCAAATACATGGACCTGACTGAAGGTCCTACGTCTCAACAGGCACCTGAGGAAAATGATGGTCCTTTTTCCAGATCAAGCACATGTAAAAACAGCTCTAGGGGATCATGGCTGAAAGTCCATGGGAAGACACTGGGGGACTAACCATTGAATTAAGGTCTCCTCTCAAAGTGCAGAATATGGAGAGGGCTAGGCTGGGAACTCACAGGACAATAAGAAACCCATCCTGACTTCCCTAGATGAAAATCTGGGGGTCCAGAGAAACAATGATCCCATGTCAGAGAGCCAGATAGAGCTCAGCCTGGAACCTGAGACTTTAGGAATCTGGCCAGATAAGGGAATCAGAACATCTGGGTGGAAATCCTGCCTTGGTTGACCCTCTAAGACAGTTTCCCCACCTATAACATGGTGATAATGATGGTGACTTTATTAGGTCTTGTGGAGATTGAGAAGACATGCACACGCTTAGCTTAGGGCAAGGCATGGTACAGGCCTCTGGAAGCTGACATGTAGGGCAATTCCTCCCGCCTCAGACAGTAACAAGGTCACACAGCATAGCACTTGGTGCTTCCCTGACATTAAAAGCTGGGCTGGGCAAAGACTCTTGCCCTTACCAGCTGCCGGCAGCAGTGAGGATCCGGCTGGTGAGTACCGTCTCCCACTCCTTCCCTTCCCGGTTACACTTCAAACGACTTAGCTTCACACCTCCCACGGCAGTCACTTCATTCTCCACCTCAATGTACATGGAGGGATCGGAGCTCACCTGGGTGAAGGAAAGCAAACACAATGTCTTTTCAGGTGATGGTGGGCCCACTGAGACTTGGGTCATGTGACAGGTGAGATGATCAAAGGCCCCAAAGCAGGAGGAAGACAGAGAGGCAGACAGAACTGGCTGGTAAACAGGAGGGTGGCAATGTGTGCAGTAACAGGGTGGGACAAGAAGGCCAGACGTCTGGATGTGTGGCCCCCAGGGCAGGGAGAGGGCTGGGAGCTTGCTCAGCCTCATCTCTCATGCCTAAGGAGCTGATGGACTGGATATCCCCATATGGAAAACCCAGGCAGAACAGCTGAACAGTCTGCAGTTGTGTGGCCACAAAAGTGGGTGAACTGGGGCAGAGGGCTGGATGTGACTGGGAGATAGGCCCCTTCATAGACCCCTGGAAACCAAGAACAGTCCCAAGCAGCACTCAGTGGGAAAGCCCCTGGGCGGGGTGGGGGTGGGGAGGCAGTGGCTAGAGTTTGGAAGGGGGTTTGTGCGCCCTGTCTCCATGCACAACAGCAACAGGAACAAACCACGTGGGTCCCTATCCTTAGGCCCAGAAAGACTTGTGGTGGGAGGGGCTGACAATGGCTCTCTAGTGTCCCATGAGGACCAGCCTGCGTGGGGCAGTGTGTGCCCAGTGGAAAGTGACCTGTGTGTGGGGTCCTAGAAGGTTTCCTGAGGACGTGCACCTGAGCTCAGGAACAACAGGCGTGAACCTGTGGCATGTCCAAGGTCAGGTGCTAGATGGAATGAATGGAAGGCCTCTGGGCATAATGGATTCTTTGTTCTAGAGCTGTGTTTTGAACAAGCACATGGTCATAAGCTCTACTCCAAGAACTCAAATAGCCCTGATGACGACTCTGCTGGGTCCTGGGAAGGGGACAGGGCCAGCAAACTGACTGGGAGATAGGCCATTACCATGCAGTCCAACTGCACCAAGCCTGAGGCTGCCCAGGGCTGAGTGTGGAGCTCAAGGAGGCTTCCAGAAGGGAATACCTGAAACAAGTTTTGAAGGGGCTGGCCATCCAGAAGATGGCAGCAGGACTGTAAGGGCAAAGCACAGAGGAGAGAAATGTGAGGTGGGGGCAGCAAGGGAGTCCCTGAGGAAGAGGCTAGTGATCTGGCCTTGATTAACTACAACTTCCCCAGATGTGGGAAGTGATGGAGAGCCACTGAAAAGCAGCCCTAAGTAAGTGACAATTCAGGGTTTACACAGAGGGGGAGCATGGAGAGAGTGTGCAGAGGTAGGAAGCCTGCTCACCTGGAGGGTGAATGCTCTCTGGGGACCTGGCATGGGCAGTTTCAGTGCAGGTGCTGGTACAGACAAACACACGGCGTCCTTCTCTGCGGTCAGGGCAGCTGGGGACTGCAAGAGCAGAAATGTCTCTGAGCCCCGCCCCAGCACTGTAGGGCAACGTCAGGTAAAGGTGAGTCACCCAGTGGTGAGGCCAGGCCAATTCCCCAGGCATTTCTGCCTACTCTGTGAGGGTAAAAGTGCAGATGAAGGCTATAAAGACCCCCACTTTCCAGATGAGTAGCTGACCCCAGGGAACTGCTCAAGGACTCTGAGTAGGCTGAGGGCAGGTGTGGGGGCCTGCATGTCTCTGCCAACTGTTTCCACACTGATGAGGCACACAGTGGCATGCACGGCCTCTCTTATCCTACTCGGGCATGTGTGCATTCCAGCACTGAGCTCACGAGCTGGGCTGGGGGAGACCGCATGGGCCCGCTGGCCTCACCTGGACAGACAGAGACACAGGCATGAGCCGAGAGTCCTTCCGAGGCCGCCCTTTCTTCTTCTTTTCCACCGTTTCCACCTCAAGCTCCAGTTTTCGCTTGGACAGCGAGGAAGGCTTGGCCACAGGGACTTTTTCGTCGCTGTCACTGCTGCTCTCCAGGAGGTCCCGGGGCCTCAGCTCTTTCACAAGGTTTTGCTCTTTCAACCTGCACAAACACAGACATCCATGGCCTACTCCATATGACTATTAAGTTTAAAATAATTATAAAATCCATACTCATCACCAAAAGTTAATAAATAAAACTAGTAAAAAAGGACTTCTGGTTTCTGCTCCAACATGCGAAGAGCTTGGAAGTTGTCACTCCCATTCTCAAAGAGGAAAGCTGAAAAACTGAAAATCAACAACTTTTCTTGGATTCATCAGAGAAGTAAGGTCACAAGGCAAACTACCACCCTGGAAACCAGAGATACCAGGTGAAGACAGAAAGCTAGAGCTCACCTGGAGCTGAAGGCCCTGGAGCCCTAACTGGTAGGAAGACTTAAAGTAACTGGTATACTGCTGGAGGCTGAGCGTGGGCTGGCTTGTAAGTTAAAACTACTGGGGGTCCAGTGGCAGGAGGGTACCCACATTTATGTTAGCTTTACCTCCAGGAGCTCTAACAGGCTGTCATGGGTGAAGATCAGGGATGGAAAAATCCCCTGTGTGCTTTGGGCTAGGGGAGGGAAAATGAACCATTTGAAACACACCCAGAGTTCCCTTCTCCTTAACAAAAGCCTGCCTTCAAGGGAAACTACTTTACTAGACCCCATGTGACTTAGCAGCAGGGCAATTAACCACCTATAGCCTAGCCCACACATGCACGCAAAAACGCACGCGTGGGCTAAGGAATTCTTCTGAAGGTCATAGCCCAGGGTCACCGGTCCAACAACAAAAACAAGATTTAATCATGAGATAATAGAATGCTTCTCCTCCCCAAAAAACTCACCATTTCAACAGGGCTTTGGTACAATAGGACTAGAGTAACTAGTCTGAAGCTAGCAGAGGGTGGTTCATGAGTTTTAAGGAAAGAAGCCAGCTCCATAACTAAAAGTGCAAGGTGAAACTTCAAGTGCTAATGTAGAAGCTGCAGGAAGTTATTGAGAAGATCTAGCTAATTAGTGAAGGTGGCTACAGTAAACGACAGATTTTCAATATACATCAAACAGCCTCGTATTGAAAGTAGAAGCTATCTAGGACTTTCACAGCTGGAGAGGAGAAGTCAATGTCTGGCTTCAAAGGACAGGCTGACTCTCTTGTTAGGGACCAATGCAGCTGGTGACTTGAAGTGGAAGCCAATGCTCATTTACCATTCCAAAAATCCTAGGGCCTTAAGAATTATGCTAAATCTACTCTGCCTTACCCTATATAGGCGGAACAACAAAGCCTAGATGAAACCGTATCTGCTTACAGCATGGTTTACTAAATATTTTAAGCTCACTGTTGAGACCTACTGCTCAGAAAAAGATTCCTTTAAAAATATTACTGTTCATTGCCAATACACCTGGTCACCCAAGACCTCTGATAGAGATGGCTTTCGGACATCTGTTTCATCAGGCAGATGAAATTAATGTTGTTTTCATGACTGCTAACACAACATCTGTTCTGCAGGCCATGATGGATCAAGAGTAGTTTTGATTTTCAAGTCTTACTATTGAAGAAATACATTTTGTAAGGCTATAGCTGCCATACATAGTGACTCCTGTGATGGATCTGGACAAAGTACATGGAAAACCTTCTGAAAATGATTCATCATCTAGATGCCACTAAGAACACTCAAGATTCATAGGAAGGGGTCAAAATAGCAACATGAACAGGAATTTGGAAGAAGTAAATTCCAACCCTCATGGATGACTTTCAGGGATTCAAGACTTCAGTGGAGGAAGTAACTGCAGATGTGGTGCAAACAGCAAGAGACCTAGAATTAGAAGTGAAGCCTGAAGATGTGACTGAATTGCTGCAATCTCATGATAAAACCTGAATGGATGAGAAGTTGCTTCTCATGGAGGAGCAGAGAAAGTGGTTTCTTGAGATGGAATCTACTCCTGGAGAAGACGCTGTAAAGATTGTTGAAATGACAACAAAGGATTTATTTATTTTTTTTAAAAAAGATTTTATTTAGGGACGCCTGGGTGGCTCAGTCGGTTGGGCGACTGCCTTCGGCTCGGGTCATGATCCTGGAGTCCCGGGATCGAGTCCCGCATCGGGCTCCCTGCTCGGCGGGGAGTCTGCTTCTCCCTCTGACACTCCCCCCTCCCATGCTCTCTCTATCTCATTCTCTCTGTGTCTCAAATAAATAAATAAAATCTTTAAAAAAATAAAAAATATTTTATTTATTTATTTGAGAGACGGAGGGAGACAGAGATAGAGAGAGCATGAGAGGGGGAGGGTCAGAGGGAGAAGCAGACTCCCCGCCGAACAGGGAGCCCGATGCGGGACTCGATCCTGGGACTCCAGAATCACCACCTGAGCTGAAGGCAGTCGCTTAACTGACTGAGCCACCCAGGTGCCCCGACAACAAAGGATTTAGAATACCACATAAACTTAGCTGATTAAACACTGTCAGGCTTTGAGAGGACTGACTTCCAATTTTGAAAGAAGTTCTGCTGTGTATAAATGCTGTCAAATGGCACTGCTATAGAGAAATTGTTCATAAAAGGAAGAGTCAACTGATGTGGCAAACTTCATTGTCTTAAAGTTGCCACAGCCACCTCAACCTTCAGCAAGCACCACCCTGAACAGTTAGGAGCCATTAGCATTGAGGCAAGACCCTCCACCAGCAAAAAGATTATGACTTGCTGAAAGCCCAGATGATGGTTAGCATTTTTTAGCAATTAAGTATTTTTTCCATTAAGGTATGTACATTGTTTTCTTAGACATAATGCTATTATTGCACACTTAAGAGACTACAGTCTACAACTTTTACATGTACTAGGAAACCAAAAATTCATTTGACTTGCTTTATTGCAATATTTGATTTATTGTGGTGGTCTGGAACCAAACTTGTAATATCTCTAGCATATGCCTGTATGCCACTCTAACTCTAATTAAAAGAAAACTGGAGTAGCTATATTAATTTCAGAAAAAGTGGAACCAGAGTAAGGAAAAGTATTAAGGATAAAGAGGAACATTACATAATGATAAAAGGGCCAATTTTCCTTTATGTATACATATGTATACATACATAGCAATCCTTAATGTATACATGCCTAACAACAGAGCATCAAAATACATGTGGCAAACTGATAGAACCACAAGGAGAACTGGACAACTCCACAATTATAAGTGGAGATTTCAATTTACCTCTATCAGTAACTGACAGATCCAGCAGACAGAAAATCAATAAGGAATTAATCAAATCAACAATACTATCATTCATTTGAATTTAGTTGATATTTATAAGATACTTCATGTAACAATAGCAGAATATACATTCTTCTCAAGATCACATGGAATATTCACTAAGATAGACCATATTCTGGGTCATAAAACATACTCTAACAAATTTAAAAGGATAATGGGGCGCCTGGGTGGCTCAGTCGTTAAATGTCTGCCTTTGGCTCAGGTCATGATCCCAGGGTACTGGGATCAAGCCCCTCATCGGGCTCCCTGCTCAGCGGGAGGCCTGCTTCTCCGTCCTGACTCCCCCTGCTTGTGTTCCCTCTCTCGCTGTGTCTCTCTGTCAAATAAATAAATAAAATCTTAAAACAACAACAACACAAATTTAAAAGGATAAAAAACATACAAAGTATGCTTTAAGCCCACAACAGAATTAAACTAGACAATAACAGAAAGATACCTGGAAAACCCCTAAGCGGAGGGTTAAACCACACACTTCTAAACAATATATGGTCAAAGAAAAAGTCTCAAGAGAAATGTAAAAATATTTAAATGAAAACAAAAATGTAATTTATCAAAATTTGTGGGATGCAGTGAAAACAGTGCTTAGAAGGAAATTTATAGCAGAAAATATTTTTATTTTTATTATTTTTTAAAGATTTGTTTATTTATTTTGGGGGGGAGGGGCAGAGGGAGAGAGTCTTAAGCAGACTCCACATTGAGCGTGGAGCCCAACACAGGGCTTGATCTCAGGATCTTGAGATCACCACCTGAGCCAAAACCAAGAGTAAGACACTTAACCGATTGCCACCCAGACAACTCCTTTATTTTTTCTTAAATATTTATTTATTTGAGAGAGAGAGAGCAAGAGTGAGAGTGGGGGGAAGGGCAGAGGGAACCTTCAAGCAGACTCCCTGATGATCATGGATCCTGATGTGGGGCTCAATTTCCCGACCCTGAGATCATGACCTGAGCCAAAATCAAGAGTCGGCTGCTTACCCAACTGAGCCATCCAGGAGCCCTGAGAATACATATTTTAGAAAAGAAGAAAGACCTGCAATAAAAACCTTAAGCTTTAACTTTAGGAACTAGAAAAAGATCAGCAAGCAGAAGCAAATAAATAACAAATAGCAATATAGTAATATAATAATAAGGCAATAATAAGTAAAGTAATATAAAGCAAGGAGAAGAAAATAAATAATAAAAATTAGAGCAGAAATCCATGAAATTCAAAACAGGAAAACAACAGAGAAAAATCAATGAAATAAAAAGCTGGTTCTTTGAAAAGAGCAATAAAATTAATAAACTTGTAGCCAGGCTAATCAAGGAAAAAAGGACACAAAATCATTAATGTCAGAAATGCAAAAGGGGCTTTCACTATTGCTCCCATGGACAATAAAAGGAACACAGAGGAATATTATGAATAATTCTAAACCCACAGATTGGATAACCCACAGATTGGAAACTGGTGAAATGGACCAGTTTCTTGAAAAAAACAAAAAACAATCAACTAAAACTCACACAAGGAAAAATAACTAATCTGAACAGGCCTATTAAAGAAAATGAATCAACAATTAATAACCTTCCAAGAAAAAAAATACCAGGCCCAGACAGTTTTACTGGCGAATTCTACCAAATATTTAAGGAAGAAATTATACCAATTTTCTACAATATATTCTAGAAAAGAGAAGCAGAGGAAATAACTCCTAACACCCATGAGGCAAGCATTACCCAAATATAAAAACCAGATACTGACATTACAAGAAAAAAAACTATAGGCCAGTATCTCTCATGAACATAGATGCAAAAATCTTCAACAAAATATTGGCA